CTGCAGGATGCAGAGATACACGGTTGTAGGGCGCACAGCTGCAGGGGTGCAGGATATGGGAACACAGGGCTGCAGGACGCGGGATGCACGGCTGTAGGATGCGGGATGTGGGAACACGGGAAGCAGGATATGAGGAGATGGAGCTTCAGGATGCGGGACTACGGGAAGCAGGATATGGCCGGACTGGGCAGCAGGATGCAGAGACATGAGGCTGCAGGGATGTGGGATTCAGGATATGGGGCTGCAGGGTGCTGGGTTTGGGGAAGGGCAATGGGGGCTGTGGATGCGGGATGTGGGAAACAAGCACGCCAGGCACTGGGCTGTGCCGAGGGGTGGCAGGAGGCAGAATCCCCAGCCCTGGCAGAGGGTATTCCTGCAGCTCCCCTCCAGGGTTTGAATCCCCATTCTCCCTCTGCACCCAAGCACCTGGGCACAGCCCAAACCTCTTGCTGGCACATGGGATGGCTCTGCTTGGGCTCCCACTCCCCAGCCCTGCCTCATGCCCAGCTCAGGCACCGAACCATTCAAGGGAGCGCTTCCCACCCCAAGGGCTCCCTCTCCCCAGGTGTCCCCGCATTCCGGCCAGCGCCGGGTGGCTGAGCCGGTGTCACAGAGCTTCTCTTTCTTCTTCCAGGCCAGTCATGGAAAGCACTGAGCGCCAGCGACAAGCGTCCCTTTGTGGAAGAGGCAGAGCGGCTGCGAATCCAGCATCTTCAGGATCACCCCAACTACAAGTACCGCCCAAGGAGAAAGAAGCAAGCCAAGAAAATCAAGAGGATGGAACCCAATATCCTCCTGCATAACCTTTCCCAGCCTTGCAGTGACAACTTCAGCATGAGTCACCATGGCGGCAGCCAGCCGGGCCACCCCCAGCCTCCCCCACTTAACCACTTCAGAGAACTCCACTCCATGGGGTCGGATATTGAAAACTATGGCTTGCCAACTCCTGAGATGTCTCCCTTGGATGTCTTGGAACAGACCGAGCCGGCGTTTTTCCCCCCGCACATGCAGGATGACTGCAACATGATGCCCTTTCGCGGCTACCACCACCATCACCAGATGGAGTTTCCCCAGGAGAAGTGCCTGGGGCGGGACGTGGCGGTGCCCTACGCGCAGACCCCCTCGCACTTGGCCGACGCCATGAGGACTCCCCATCCCTCCAGCATATACTACAACCAGATGTGCTCGGGAACTCAGAACGGGCTTTCCGCCCACCTGGGCCAGCTCTCGCCCCCCCCCGAAGCCCACCACATGGAGAGCGTGGATCACTTGAACCAAACCGAGCTGTGGACGGACGTTGACCGCAACGAGTTTGACCAGTATTTGAACATGAGCAGGACTCGTCCCGAAGCCTCGGGACTCCCTTACCATGTCTCCTTGTCCAAAGTGACTCCTAGAAGCATCTCCTGCGAGGAGAGCAGCTTGATATCCGCCTTGTCTGATGCCAGCAGCGCCGTTTATTATAGCCCCTGCATCACGGGTTAGGTTGGCCCCGCCGCCCGATGCTCGCACCCGGGAGAGCCCCGACTCTCCTCTAAACAAAGACAAAAAGCCATCTTCCTTTAACCACGAGCTCCATAATATTTAGAGTATCTCATTAAATGCATCGCTTTCTTTCTTTTTTTTTTTTTTTTAGAGAAAAAAACATGCTGAACTCACTGATATACCGTATAACTATATAACACAGATAGATGCCTTTCCCAAGCACTAGCCCGCCTGCCGCGCTCCCCGCTCCAGCCCTCGGCAGGGTGTTGCTGTAGCTCCCACCAGCTTGAAGGGGCATTTTTTTTAAAGCAATTCCAGTAAATCCTGCCTGAAACAACCACCACCAGGATAAGCCAAAGTGACCTGCCCCCAGCATTTAACCCAAGGGCAGGAGAACTTGCAGAGGGGCAGGGGAGAAGCCTTTTAGGAAGACTTTGCCGGGGCCATTAAAGAGTCGGCGCCTGTTAGGGGTGGGCTTTAGGACAGTTTTTACTGTATTCTCAGCAATATATTTTAATTGGGCAACAAAACTATATTTTTACTAAGCATTTTTATATATAAAATGGTATTTAATGTCTTTTTTTTTATTAGACTTTTTAAAAATAAATCGAGGGATATCCACGAGATCTAAAGCATTTATGTAGCAAAGCTGGATTTAAAAAAAATAAATAAAAAAGGGGGAGGGGGGGAAAGATATTTTGTGAAAAGGGAACGACAATGTAAATATTGTGGAACAATCGACTGGAATTTTGTACAAAAGAAAAATACGACTGCAAACACTTTTATTGTCTAGAACTGTATGGAGAGCAAACTGTTTTATACCGGTTAATTATTAAAACATCTTCGTATAATTGCTCCCATCTTGTGCGCTTGTTGTGTGAACACATATTTTCCGCAAATACATGTCGCCCCAACCATTTCCAGATTTCGGGATCCGTTGATTAATGTTTTGACAACCTGGCAAATGTATTAAT